TGGGCTGCCCTCAGCCCCCAGCTCGGGGCGAGCCGTTGCGACCCTCAGGGTGAGCTCCTCAGTCCCCAGATTGCACCATCTGACCCCTGGGTGGGGAAGGGGGGGGGGAAAAAGAATACCTAGGGTATCCAGAGAATGTTACTTAAGCCACCTTCTGCCACCCTCCCCCCCCAGTAAACCTGAAAGCAACACCCTCAAAGCCCTTCTATTTGTAACTCACAAGTTTATTCTCTCTAGGTTTGCTCGCTTTCCCATAGGTAACCTTAACACTGAGTTTTACTCCAGAATTGACCCTGAACCCAGTGCCAGTGACAAAAAAGAAATACAGCTGACAGCTAAGGAAGCAAAAGAGGATGGAGCCTCTGAGTTCAACCAGCCATCCCCACTGGACCCACCTGGGAAAACACTTTGCAGTCCAGATGGGAGCAAATGACAGGAAAATATCTTCTAACAGAGCAAGAAGGCAAGCAGCTTTAACCCAAGACCACCAGTAAGGAGATAAAGCGTCCTCCCTTCCCCCCTTTACATCTACGCCCCTGTTCAGCATGAAGAAGCCAGAGAGTCGGCATCCAATTCCCAAATCAATAAGACAGTTGGTTTAATTACCATTGGAAAATGCTTGTCATTCCTCTGTAGCATCTGGTCCCCACTGGACCCTCATCATTTCCTTCACCTGCTCCCCCCACCGACCAAACTGTGCAGCTCTGCAGCTGCATCCTGGCCCATCCTCACCCTTCTGCCCCCAACCCTCACCTCCTTGTACCCCCAATATGTTTTTTCCAATTAAAAAAAAGAAAGAAAACAAAAAAATTATTAATTTTATTGAACATTTATAGAGATTTTGTATTTCCATTCACTCATTGTTGCACTTTTTTCCCTGCCCAGCCCTCCCCGCCCCCCCCCCCCACCCCAGTTCACTCTTCTCTTTGAAAAGCAAAATTTCTTCCATTTGCTTTAGTTTTCGCTATGAGTTGCAGGCGACTTGATGGCACATAACAACAACATTCAAGACCAATTTTCAGAATCTCTTCTGACATCTGTTTTAGACTTTTCTTTCTTTCTCCCCTTCCTTCCTTTCTCCCCTGTCCCCTCCCCCTCCCTCTCTCCTTCCCATATCCCCCTTTTCTCTCTCCCTCCTCTCCTTCTTCCTTCATTCCTTTCTTTTTTAATGATTTTTTTCTTTCTCTCCAGATGATACTTTTAATATCATCCCACAATTTGCCTGGGTCTTAGTCTTCAATGTTTCAAATCTATTTTTGAAATAGTTTTTCACTTTAAGAAGTTTTTATTTGATTAAAAGTTTCCAAATAACACTGTTTTTTTAATAATCATTCATAAACATTTTATTTTATAACATTAATTGCCAGTAATTAATGGTTCCCACCCGTGTTTTCTCTCCAAGATTGATTTTATATATGTGTAAACCTTTCCTTAACTTTTTATAATAATGGTCACATACCATAACTATCTTTTTGTGACTGACTTAGGTCACTCAGCACAATTAATGTTAGATTTATCCAGTCTATGCATACTTTACAAATTCTTGATTGTTTTTAGTGATGCATAATACGATATTGTGTGAAGACAGAATAATTTTTTTCTTCTTGTCTCATTTTTATTCATTGTCCAGCTTTCTTTTTTTTTGTGTTTTTTTTTACATTTTTCTTTTTTGTTTTAATTATTATTATTATTATTAATTTT